TGTCTGGCAAGGCACGGCCTCCAGTCTCTGGGTCAGGGCCATATGCAGGACTGAGGTGGACAAACCAGGGTCTTTGTCTCCAGCCGCTCCTATCCTGTCTCAGTGGCTTCTTGGCAAATGTGGGGTGGATGCGATTTCACGGGGGGGCCTGGTGTCTAGGCCCACCAGCCCTTGGCCTTAACCAAGCCCAAGCCGGGCTGGGCTAAGTCACTGCCTGTGAAGAGAAAGAGGGGATTTAATTGGACAGGACAGGAACAGCACAGGGTGTGCGGGGAGAGGAAAGAAGTTTCTGCCTGGGAGTGTTGGGGTGGAAGGGCTGTGTTAGGGATGCCGGCTCTCTCCTGGGCTCCATAGCTGTCACCTGTAAAATGGGAACAGCAGTGGCAACCTATCCAGATTCCTGAAGGAATCACAAGGGGGAGGATGTTACAGTAATGGGAGGGAGGACATTGGGTGATTGTCGGGGTGCTTGACAGGGGATGTGATGTTGGTTGGGGTGGGGGAAGCATGGGAACTTCTGGGGTCTAGTCACTGAGCCGCTACCCTGTCCCTGCCCTGACCTCCAGAGCACTACCCGTTGAATCCTCCCAATTGTTCCAGGTAGGAGCGGTTACTCTCCCCATTTTGTAGAGGAAAAAGTGAGGATCAGAGAAGCAGGGTCCTCTGCCTGAGGTCACACAGCTAACACACAGGGGACAGCCACATCCAGATGCCCCAGGGACCACATTCTTTTTATTTTTTTATTTTTAAGATTTTTTTTTTTTATTTCTTTTACTGGAGAGAGAGAGAGCACAGAGAGAGAGGGAGAAGCAGACTCCCCACTGAGCAGGGAACCCTATATAGGGACTTGATCCCAGAACCCTGAGATCATAACTTGAGCCGAGGGGAGATGCTTAACTGACTAAGCCCCCCAGGCATCCCAGGACCACATCTTTAAGAAAAAAAAAAGTTGTTTCTATAACAGTTTCATTGGGATAAGTTTCACATACTATGCAATTCACCTGTTGAAGATGCACTTTTCTAGGGCTTTTACTATATTCACGGTGCATCAAACCATCAACTTGAGAACACTGTCATCACCCCAAGAAGAAACCGCAGGGGCACCTGGTGGCTCAGTGGGTTAAGATTCTGCCTTCAGCTCTGGTAATGATCTCAGTATTCTGGGATCAAGCCCCACACCGGGCTCTCTGCTCAGCAGGGAGCCTGCTTCCCCTCTCTTTCTGCCTGCCTCTGCCTATTTGGGATCTGTCAAATAAATAAAATCTTAAAAAAAAAAAAAAAAAAGGAAGAAAGAAACCCCAGATGCCTTAGGTAACACCCTCCAAGCCTCATCTCTCCCCAGCCCCTGGCAACCATTCCTTTACTTTCTATCTGTCTAGATCTGCCTCTCCTGGACATTTTGTACTAATGCGATCACACAACATGTGGCCTTTGATGTCTGTCTGGCTTTGTTCATTAGCATCACTTTTTCCAGGCTCATCCATGTCAATACATCACTCCTCCTATTGCTGGGTCATACGCCGTTGCATAGATCCACCACGTTTCATTCATCTGTTGGCCATCGGAGTTGTCTCTATTTTTGGCTCTTGTGAATAATGCCACTGCGAACATTCACGTTCAAGTTTTTGGTGTGGCCGCATGTTTTCCTTTCTCTTGGCTTTATCCCTCAGAGTGCAGTTGCTGGCTTATATGGTAACTCTAGATTTAACATTCTGAGCCTCCGCCAAGCTGATGTCCAAGGTCATTGCCCTATTTCCCATTCCACCAGCCGTGTTCGAGGACCCCTGTTCCTCCACATCCTTGCTGACACTTACATTGTCCATCTTTTTGAGACCACGTCCTTACCGACTCTGCTACCCTGGACCTGGCTGTGGTTCCAATCCTACTGGCTGTGGGATCTCAGGTGAGTGGCCTCTCTGTGTCCCTTTTCAGAAAATGGTATAAGAATCCTTCCTGGGGTGCCTGGGTGGCTCAGTGGGGGTAAAGCCTCTGCCTTCGGCTCAGGTCATGATCCCAGGGTCCTGGTATAGAGGCCCACATCAGGCTCTCTGCTCAGCAGGGAGCCTGCTTCCCTTCCTCTCTCTCTCTCTGCCTGCCTCTCTGCCTACTTGTGATCTCGGTCTGTCAAATAAATAAACAAAATCTTTAAAAAAAAAAAAAAGAATCCTTCCCTTCCAAGCTGTTAGGAGATGACCCAGGGGTGGCCCCTCATTGGAGTTATGCCAACGGTCAAGTGAGGTGCACACCTCTTGTTTTTATACCTGCCCCTCCCCCACAGGGGTTGGAGACAGATGCACCAGGTATAATGAAGTCCATCCGGGACTGACCCCTCTGGCCCATGGATCTCTCCCCAGTGCCTGGCACTGAGTCTGCCATTCCGTAAGTGCTTGCTATGCGTAGACCCTCAGTGCAGTCCAGGACCTCCCTTCATGGCGGTGGCAGAGCCCCACCTCCCCCCGGGCACTCCGGAAGTTGTGTAGGTCAAAGGGCTGGGCCGGACCACAGCCTACGAGTACTAAAGGCATTATGATTTTGCTCCTTCCTTAAGACAAGAAGTTCTGTCTGTCCCTGTTAAGCGTCTCTCCTTCCAGAACAGAGGTCAAAGAGCTTCACCAGTGACAAGGACAGCAAAATAATGACAGTCACATCCTCACAGTGGCCCTTGTTCACGTTCAGGAAATTCTCCTGAGCACCTCACTTGCTCTTCCTACTCACCCCTTCCCAGCAAGGCAGACCTTCATGCTCTCAATCAACCAGTAGTTCTCTCCCCTGTCTCTCCCTCCCACCCCCCACCATTGCTTTTTTACGGTGGTAAAATGCCCATAACAGAATTCACCACATGAAGCCATTTTGAAGTGCAGTCAGTAGCGTGAAGTACGTTCCGGCTGTCGTGCAAACGTCGCCACCATCCACCTCTGGAAGAGTTTTTATCTCCTAAAACAAGCTCTGTCCCCAGCACACGCGGACTCCCCATCCCCACCCCTCCCTCCGGCTCTACCGGTACTTTTTTTTTTTTTAAATTTTTTTTTAAGTTTTTTACTTATTTATTTGACAGAGAGAGGCACAGCAAGAGAGGGCACAGAAGCAGGGAGAGTGGGAGAGGGAGAATCAGGCTTCCCCCTGAGCCACTGAGCAAGGAGCCTGATGTGGGGCTTGATTCCAGGACTCTGGGATCATGACCTGAGCTGAAGGCAGACACTTAACAATAGAGCCACCCAGATACTCCTCCACCAGTGCTTTTAAAGAGGCTACTGAGTGCCCAGAATGGGTCCCGCGGCTGTCAGCAAGATGGACATGGTCCCTCGCTTCATGGAAACTAGTACTGCTTTCCAGATGAGGGCACAGGCACCGGGGGCAGGGAGGCTCTTGCTCACGGCCTCCCAGTGAATCAGCTAGAGGCCAAGATCCAGCCTCCTGGCCCAAGATGAGTTCCTTCCTTGCACGGGGCCTCAGTTGTCCAGTCTACGAAGTGAGGGTCAGGAGGGAGCTGGGCTAGCGACACCGGGACTGAGGGCTCATGCCACTTCCCCCTGACTTCAGAGAAGAGTGGGTACCAGCCCTGGCCCCTTCTCCTACAGTTGTCTCCATCAGCCTCCTGGTAGCCAGGATCATCCTTGTCCTTTTCTTTTCATGGTGGTGGTGGGGGGGGTGCTCCCTACAGGAATGGGCTCTGGATTAGTCTTCCTGCCACCCCCTCCGCTTCCCAGCTGGGTCCAGCCCCAGTCAGAGAGAGGCTTTCTGTCGGGAAGGCATGCCCAGACCCTCCTCTGTTTACATTCCTCACCCCAAGCCAGATAGCTGCTTGTTTATGCTAAGATCCTGGAGACCCAGCAGGAAAACCTTCTCCCACCCCGTTATGGAGGCAGCAGCTTTCCGAGACACCAAAGTCCTCTCCAAGACTCAGATTCCCATCTATAAAGTGGGCACAGCAACTCCTCCCTCAAAAGGAATCTCCCTTCGTGCTCACTGAGTTAATTATTAAGGTTTCTTTCTTTCTTTTCTTTTCTTTTCTTTTTTTTTTTTTGTAAATGTCTTGCACTGGTAGTATGAACACATGGCTTCTGTTTGGATTCTCTCTCTCTCTTTCCAGCAATTTCAAAATTCCACTTCCTAGCTGCCGAACCACACCGTATGGGAGCTATTTCTGTTTGCAGGCCAAGGAGGGAAGGACCTACCCCGCTGTCTTTGGGGAGTTAGCTCAATTTAATAAAAAACAATAATGATAAAAGGGCTAAAAATGTTCCTGGTGCTCTGAACAGACCGGGAGCTACCAGCATCCCCCCCAGGACTGTGGGGGGTGGGGAACAACATAGCTATTCCCCACTCTACAGTGGGGACACTGAGGCTCAGAGGTGGAACGATTGGCTGCTCAGGGGATGAGTCCAGAGCCAGAGTGTGGGCTCAGGGAGCCTGGACCTGGAGCTCAGGCCCACTAGGCTTCCAACCAACCCCAGCAGAAGTGAGCTGCCTGACCCGTGGAGGCATTCAAATGGCTGGAGTAAAAAGCCAGACTGCAGGTAGGGGCTCACCTTCACCACCCAATAAAAAAACACACTCGAGCACCTCCTAGGTGCCGGGCTGCATGCCACGTGCTGGTAGAGGTGAAGAAAGGGAGCTCACATTTATTTAGCCCCAGACAGCAGACTCTCTATCTACCCCTGTGCCACTCCTGCACCTCGCCTGCGGGACTGGGAGCGACCTAAGGGCACGGGCCCCGGGGCCCGCGTCCCAGTGAACTGTCTGCTGAATGAATGAGCCAATGCACCGAGGACGGCCTCGCCCGTTACCAGAGGGGAGGCAGCCCCCGGGTGGCGGGATCAAGAGCCCCGGAGGGAACTCAGGGTCCCAAGCGAAGCCCACCCCGGGAAGCGCCAGGGCCCTCGGGCCGAGATGATCGTGACGCCCCGCTTCCCAGAAGGGGGGCCCGAGCCCGCCCCCGCCCCGGCAGACGCGGCGATTGACGGGGCGGGGGCAGCCGGGGGCGGCGCGCGGCGCTGGAACCTGAGCCGGGGGAGGAGAGTCGCGCGGGGCGGGCGGGCGCCGGGCGGCCGGGATTCAGGAAGCGCCGCGCTGTCCTGGAGGTGAGCGGGGCTTGGGCCCTCGGGGCTAGGGATCCCGGGAGGGCATACTCAGCCGAGGTCCTCTCGCTCCCCTGGGGACGTCTCCGAGGTTCCAAAGTCCGGGCGGGGGCTCAGGAGCGAGGCGCGGGGTCCCGCCAGCTGCTGCCACCCCGCCCGGTGCCCTTGGGCCGGCCAACCCCCCACCCCACTCTGGGCTTTAGTTTTATCACTTGTGAAATGGGCGCCGTCGTGGGCCTTGGGGTCTCGAGTCTGCAGGAGGGAGGTCCCAGAGTCCTCGAGATCCAAGCCCAGGAACCCAAAGTTAGGAGGCCCTGCAGCCCACTTTGGGGGCACCCCCATTTTGGGGGCGGGTGGAAGGTGGGGGTCTGAGGTTTGCCCTCTACCGGGAAGCAAGCAGGAGGGAATTGAAAGTCTGGAACTTCCAAAGCCCACTTCTTAGTTAGCCTTCGTTAGGCCCAGAGATGGCTCTTCCCCCAAGAGGCAGGACAATCTTTAACCTCCACCTCTGCCTCTAGATTCCGGAGGTCCAGGAGGGCAGAAAGAGACCGCCCACACCCCACTTGCCTGGAGATACCAACCGCATGCCCCTGGAGCTCCCTACCACCCCCACCTGGTCCAGCCCCAGCCTGGCCCTCCATCAGACTTCCCGGTTTGCAGATGGGAAAGCTGAGGCTTAGGTGGGGGATGTAACCAGTTTAATTTAAACCCAGGGCTGTCAGGCTCCAGAGTCCTCCCTGCCTGGTGCCCAGGGGTGCCCTGTGAGTTATAGGGGAGGGATTGTGCCTTTGGGGGCTCTGCTGGGGCTGGTGACGTGTGATGTTGTGTGTGACTTCATTCTGGGGACGCTAAGAACCGCTGGAGGATTTAAGTTTTGCCACTTTATCTGGGGGCCAAGAATGGGGGGGTGTGTGACTCCTTGACTACCAGGGAGGAAGGTGAAAAGGAGGTCTCTTTAGAGAAGTCAAGAAGGGTCAGGTCCGGGTCACCTGTGGGGTTAGAAGCGGGGCCTGTGTGGCCCCCGTTCCTCCCACCCCTGCTGCTGAGTGACTTTGGGTGAGTCCCTGAAATGGGGTTGGACTGAGGGCCACCCCAGGGATACGGTGAGGACAGATGGCCCAGCTCAGCACCAGCCTGGGCTTCTTAATGCTAATTGGTCATTCCCTCATTTTCCTAGTTCATTCTGTTTGAATAACAGTGGGGAACCCCTCTTTCCAACCTTTGTTGGTAAATTGGAGGGGGAGGGGCTCCCAAAACAAATGGCAAATGGCTGTCCTAGACTGGTCAGGGTCAGGGGTGTAAGATGGAGGTGGAGTCCTTTGGCATGGAGTGTTCCCAGGTTTAGGGAATGGCACCTGAGGGCAAGGGCATGAGGGTGAGAGTTTCTGAAAAGGTGCCTGGGGCTCCCTTGGAGAAATCTGGAGCCTTACTGCTGGGGAGGGGGTCACGGGGCGCCTCTGCTGCCTCACCTGGTGGGAGTGGGGCCTCGGCTGCTTCCACGTGTGGGCACCTGGCAAGGTGAGCAGGTGTGGTAAATGCTTTGCAAATGTGTGCTGTTGAATGAATGGGAGCCAGGAGAGAAGGCTGTGGGGTGAGACAGCAGTCCGAGAAGGGATCAGGGAGGGCTTGATCCAGGTGGGGGTTGAGCCACACCTCCAAGAGTAAATGCAGACTGGGGGAAAGGCATTCAGATAAAGGGAAGGGTACTAGCAAAGGAAGGGCACTACCTGTTGCCAGGTAGGTAAAACTAGACTTTGTAGAGCCAAGACATGGTTCTTTCGGCCTGGAATGTGTGATGTGGACGGGAAGGGCAAGGGATCGGGCAGGCAGGGGCTAGATCAGACCCAGAAGCCCTGAAGACCAGGCTGGGAGGGACATACTGGGTGTGTGGTCTGGAAGGGTCCCTCTGCCTGAAGGTAGTGGGGGCCAGGCAAGGAGGCAGGTCCCCAGGCTGGGGAAGTCATTCAGGCAGGAGACGTGAGGCCCAGGTTGGCGACTGGAGAGGCGTGGCTGGCAGGAGACCTAGGAGGGAGAGACCCGCTTGAGAGCTGGTCTCATGGGGCCTGGTACAGGGCAGGTGCGCTGTAATGTCTACTGCCCAGTAGAGGGACTGGACACGTTGTTTGTGAGAGGGCCCGAGTTCTTTGAGCTTCGTCATCTGTTCCTTGGATGGAGGGGGAGTTTGTGTGAGTAGCCATCTTGACCCCTCACAGGCCCTGACCTGCTGTCTGCCTCAGTTTCCCCCCTGGGAAAGACACCCCAGGCCCCTCCCCAAACCCCTGGCTCCACTTCTTGTCACACACCAGATCTGGGGAGCCAAGAGAACACTGCATGCCAGCAGGCCTTCTGGAATGCTTACCCATTTAGAGCGGAATTCACCTGTTAAAGATTAATTCCGATCTCTCGAGATACTTATGGCCCTGGGCCCCGCAGCTGGCGCTTGGAGCACCGGGTACAATGTTCCACCTCGCTTTAGCCAAGCCTGGGCTGCATTTGTGGTCCTTATGATGGTCGTGAGCATTTAGTGGGCACTTCCTGTATGCCAGGCCCTGGCCCAAACACTTAGTACATTTGGAGAAAAAACTATAATTGTACCTATTTTTGCGAGGGAGGAACTGAGGTCTGGTAATGAAGTTGCTTGCTGCGGGGTCTTTTAGTTGGGGAGGGGCAGAGCTGGGATCTGCACTCTGTTCACCTGATTCCAAAATCCACACCCTTAACTTCCAAGGTGGCCTGTCCCCATTTGTCCTGACCCAGGGTCGTGGGGGAAGAGCCTGCAGTGTAGAGAGAGAGAGAAGAACCCTGGTGGCTCAGGCAGGCCCCGCCTTAAGTCCTACATCAGCTGCTTCTTCCCCAGAGAAGCTCAGGCAAGTCACCAGGCCTCTCTGAGCCTCAGTTTCCTTGTCTGTCAAATGGTGCTTTTGGTTCCCGCTTTGCCAAGACAGTCAGAGGCACACAGGTGGGGCTCCGAAGCACTATCCTCTTCCTCATTCTGTTTCCCTGGGCTTTTCCTGGACATGCTTTCCTCCAGCTCATCCCAGTGGCAGCCTCTGAGAGCCCCTCTGTGCCAGGCAGGCAGGCGGAAGAGAGCAGGGGCAAAGCTAGACTTGCATTTGGACAAAGGACGATGCCTTTTCAGCCGTGAGATATTTACAGGCCTTGACTGAGTGCCAGGAGCAGTCAACGTTTCATACTTAGCTAATCGTTTAGTGGATAGACAGTGTCTGTCACATGATGCTCATCTCGGTGATGTCACAGCCTGGCCCCCACTGCTGGTGGGCAGAGGCAGGAAGGCTGGATCTCATTTTATGGCTGGGGAAACTGAGTCTCCGAGGGCGAAGCAATTTACTCAGGGCTCCAGGCAGAGCTGGATCTGGAAGCCAGATCTGAGTGACTCTGTTCCCTTTGGGTCCCTGAAGAACTTCTACCTTGGAGTCTGACCCACCTTGGTCCAGTCTTGCTGCTGTGTGACCTCGGAAGCTAGCTTAACCTCTCTCTTCCTGGGGTTGCAGCCTAGGATTTGCTGGAGGTCTAAGCTGTCTGCTAGAGGGGTAATTGGGTAATTCTGGCCGCTATTCTTGCCCGAGCCTGGATTCCCTTTGCCTGGGTTTCCCTTGGGTCCTGACACTCTGGCTGAACAAGAATGAGGAAGAGAGGCCAGCCCCCTACTTTCACTATGACTCCAACTTCCCTCCTGCCGCAGAGCCCCTTCCTGATCATTTGCTTCCCCTTTCTGTCCCGAGCCCCTGGCCACAGCTGGCTGTGTGACCCTAAGTAGATCACTCCACCTCTCTGAGCAAGTTTCTTCATTGGCGAGGGAGGGCCAGACACCACACCAGGGCCATAGGAAGCTCTCCATAAATGCTCTTAGGTCTGCTCCTGATGAGATCAGAGGATAAGAAAGGCGACAGAAGGAGGAGGGTGTAACTGGAGGGGCAGACAGGCAAGCCATTGACCAAATGGGCATACTCTTATTTTTCTTTGGGTGGTGAGTAACTGCCGCCCGCCCTGCCTGCCACCCTCCCTGACTCCCCCCTGCACAAAGGACTCCTCAGTCTCCCGGGTGCCTGTTTTTCCCTGAGGGTGGAGTGGCCTGGGTTCCACCCAGATGACCGGGAGGCCTGACCACCTCTGGGACAGCTCCTCATGTGTGTGTATGATGGGGGAGCAGACTTCTACCGCATGCCCCGAGTGGGCCCCACAGGCTCAGGGGAGACCCCACTGGGCAAGGGGCCAGTTGACTTCAGTCCAGGGGGACCCACTGGACCCTCCTGTCTCCCCTTGCAAAGATAAGGAGCTCAGGAATACCAGTAGACAGAGTGAATGAAGGAAGGAATGATTGAACAGACATATCTTAATAAGGCAGGGGCATCAGCAGAAAGCCCCTACTTGGCTTGGAGACCAAGTGGGCTTGGGCGAGTGTCCTGGTCTCCTTGAGCCTTAATTTCTTCTTCTGCAAAATGGGTTCATTCTCACTGTTGCCCTACTGGCGGGATGTGGGTCTCACAGGTCAGAGAGCACACAGTAGTTGCACAATAAATGAGCTGTTGAAGGTTGGGAGAAAGGAAGGAAGTTAGCCAGCAAGCTGGTTCATTGGGCAAAAAGGTTCATTTGTGTCTGTGAGTTCATTCATTCATTCGGCAAGTCTATCTTGAGCAGCTACTAAGTGCCAGGCTGTGTTCTAGGCCCTGGGCACTCAGCGGGGACAGGAACAGAAGAGCTCCCATCGTGCCCCACACAGTCCTCAGGGCTGCACTGTATGAGGCTCTGATGCCCACAATGACCAAGTGACCCAGGGGTGGGTACTGTGCTTAGCTCCCTATTAGAGAAGAGGAAACGGAGGCTCAGAGAGGTGATGTGACCTGTTGGGGATCCCACAGCTACAAAGCAGCAGAGCCGAGATTCAAACTCCAAGTGTGTCTGTAGCGCCCCAGCTCCTTTCCACCGCCCCAGCTGCCTGCCGATCTCCAGGAGCGGTGGCGTTTAGAAGAGGGTGGCCCCAG